ACCCCGGTCCAGCCCGTCCCTGCACCACTCTGAGCCTCCCTTGTCCTCTGTGTCCCCCTGTGCAGGGGGCACAGGGTCCGGAGGAGTCTCTGGGCTGACCCACTGGCCGCGCTGTTCCCGTGCCTCTGGGGCGGGGCATAGGCGGAGACCCCAGGGAGCAGGATCACTTCCTCCAGCTCCACCTGCCTGGAGTGTGAGCCCCGAGTCCCTGCCAGTGACCTGAGGTCCCCCTGCCAGGGGAGAAGAGCCCCACGCGAAACCTGGGGAAGAAGCAATGTAAGCCGAGCTGAGGGGTGTGGCCTTTCCCTCGCCAGGTCCTCACTGCATTCAGGATCCTGCGCCCCTTTCTCAGTCTGCTGTTCCCGAGAAGGCCACCCCACCTTCCTGGGGCCTCGATTCCCCCTGCCGAGTCAGTCCAGCATGGCGGTTAGGACAATGTGCCCAAATCCCAGCTGCCCTGCCTGTGCTCTCTGGACAGGGAAGTTCACATCTCAGCCTCCGTTTCCATGTCAGCAAAATGGAGAGAATAACCATACCCACCTCGATCAGTAGTCTTTGTAATAATGAGATGAGTGAATACGACATGCTTTCAGCACAGAGCTGGGTACACTGTAAGCGCTCAAGGCCTCTGGGCTGTTACTATCACTGTTACTTTATCATCACCACCTGTGAAGGGGCCGGAGGACGCGTGCATGCTGGCACCCGGGGCTGGCCCCCGAGCCCTCGTTTCTCTGCTCCCTTCTGCTGTCCCCCTCACTGTCTTCAGTACTGAGTGATCGACAGGCTGGGCCGGTGGCATCCTGGCAGGCCTGTCCTGGCAGCTGCTCCCACAAGGCGAGGCCCTTGAGCTTCGGAGAATTAATTAGGTTGCATTCCTCTTCCAGGGCTCCGGCGGGCCTGCACATGGCCCCCTTCCGAGCTGCTGAGGGCTCTTGGCTCAGGTCCCTGGCAGGCGAGGTGAGGCCCACACTCTGCTCCTCCTGAGAGGGGCTGGGAGGGCCCTCCTGAGCTGGAAGTACTGGCTGGCTGTGGAAGGGACAGTGATAAGCCAGCAGCCCGAGGCCAGCTTCCGTCCTGGCTCTCCCCTGCTAGCTGCCTTCACTGGCTCCCCATCATTCAAGTTCAAATTCCTGGCAATAGATTCAATCCCCAGCCTGGTTCCTGCCCATCAGGCCAGCTGCCTCTCTCTGGATTCTTCCATGATCTGGCCAGACATGCCTCACACCCTCCCCCCAGCTGTGATACCCTTTCCCCCATCCCGGCATGTGCAAACCCTCCCTGTATCCAAACACTCCCTCCCCTCCCACCCCCACCAACTGGAAGGGCGGCCTATAAGGTACGTACTGCATCTCCTGTCCCTTTATTTCGCCCCAACTGCCTTTTCTGCCAGCCTGTGAGACCCCTGAATGCAGTTTGATCTGAAGACACACACCTCTGCAGGAGGGCGCTTGGTAACATTCCCCTGGGAGACACCCCGGAGGCTGTGCAGGGGGTGACAACTGCTGCGGATCTTCCCGCCTTTTCTGCCCGTAGCCCCCTCCCCCACACCAAGCACTCAGCCTGGACCTGGTGCTCAGGAGGTCCTGGTTGCTCATTCCCGCCTTCCCCCCTGGGCTCCTCCCTGCCCCTTTCCTCTTTCGTTCCCTGAAAGGGGCTGAGAGCAGCTCCCTTCACCCTGTTTGCTCTGCCGGGAACGCTCATGCCCACCCTCCTCCTCCTCCTCTTCCTCCTCCTCTTGACTGGTTTCCTCAAGCAGGCCTTGATGCCACCTCCTTCAGGAAGCCACCCTGGGCTCCCCCACCCTAGGAGCTCTATCATAGGGTGGATGCATCCTATCAGAGACAGAACAGCTTATAAGTTTAGAGTCTCAGGCTGAAATCCCACCTCAGCGACACACTAGCTGCGTGACTGTGAGCAAGTTTACCCTCTGGTTACCCCCTCTCCGAAACGGGGCCAGGGAGGCTGGAACCTGCTCCCGGAGGTTGTGTGAGGAAGCAAGCGATTCGAGTGCAGAAAGCACTTAGTGAGCGCTGCACAGATGCTAGTGATTGTTGGAACCTCGACAGTGAACTCTGTTTCCTGGAAGGGCCCTCCTCTTGACCTGGGGGGCAGGGGCTGCGCCCGCAGAGAGGATCGTTCGTAACTGTCGAATGGACGGGTGGCCGCGTTCTGATGATTTATCGCCCTGACAGGCAAATGACTTTTCTGAAGTGAAAATCCCGCATTTTTACAGGGAATCCATAATTCCTCGAGGTTCTTTCCCGAGCGAGGGGGTGGGGGCAGAGTCAGCTAGGGAGGGAAAGGGCCCAGCAGCAGCCTGGGTGTGTATCGGGCCTGGGAGCTCTGGACATGGGACCGAATTCCCTCTGACTCAGCTTCTGTCCGTGAGTGGAACCCCAATAAATCCGGTCATTCTGTGCCCCCCTCTGGCCTAGCCTTGCCTGGTATTCCCATCAAAAGGAACACAAATTTGGCTCAAAAAGCCTTGATAAAATCTGTTAAATATTTATGGGGAATTCTGGAAAAGGGGAGGCTTTGTCCCACAAAGTGCAGACAAGCCTTTCAAGATGTCTACACCTTTCTTCCGAGGGTCCCTTTCCCCTTGGCAGCTGCTCCTCACCAATTGTCTTTTTCTTCCAAACTCTACCCACCTTCCTCACACTGCCAGGCCCTAGCTACCTGGGATGTGGTCTAGAAGCGAGCCCAGACTTTGGGTGCTCATGGTCCCCCGGCCCCACAAACTGCTCGTCTGAAGGAAGGCCAGAGCGGCACCCGCTTCAGCCCCGGCAGAGGCCCCCACCTCCAGGGGACTGCACTGTCACCTCGCCTCTACCTGCTTCCTGGGCCTCTTCTCCTCCCTTTAATCATCTCTGTTTCTGAGTCATTTGGGTCACTGATCTATGAACTCTGGCCAGAGCCACCAGAGCCTGTGCCAAGGGCAGGGGGTGCCTGCTTCCCTGGGCGTCCGACACGCCCTCAGCCAGGCTTTCGTTGCACCTGCCGTCCTGGTGTTGCCTCCCACAGCCGCCTTCCTGGCCACTGGCTGTTACTTTGGGCTTCCAGTGGGCGCAGGGGCATCGTGAAGGTGCTGCCGGGCTGCCAGGCAGTGAGGCCCCCGGCACCAGGCTCGGCTGAGGTTTGAGAGGTGGGCCCTGGCCCCTGGGCTGCAGTGGGAAGTGGCTGGGAAGCGATGAGGCCACACCATACCAGCCCTCCCCACCCAGAATGGACCGTGGACGCCTGGGGGCCGGTCGTGACCTGGCTTCCCTGCCTCCAGTCCCCTCATTCGCTCCTGCTCTGTGTAACCCTCTGGTGGCCTATTTCCGAAGCCCAGGTCTGACCAGCTCCCCTGTGCTCACAGGGGCTCCCCATGGCCCCCAAGAGAAGGTCCTCAAGGCCTCTCTGGCTTCACTTGGGCCGCCTGCCCGCCCCCACTCCTCATCGCCATGCCCACACCACACGGGAACCTCCGTTGTCTCCCCGCCATACACTCCCCTCCCGGTCCCTCCGTCTGGAGCTCCCTTCTGACTTTTTCTGTTGATTTTAGTCTAACTCATCTTCCGAGGCTGTGGGAGTGGGCTTTGTCTAGGAGACTTTCTCTGGCCATTCCTCTTCCCAGACCGCCCACCCAGTCCCTCTCTGCTCTCAGGTCCTTTAGCCCTGTGCCTGCCCCAGTGACTGACGGACTGACAAGCAGCCTCTGCTTCTTATCAGGCCCTTGGCTGAGCCCGGCATCCAGAACTTGTCCATTTATTGTTCACGTCAGTCCTGCTAGGCGGTCCTGCATGGGATTATTGTTTCCCATTTTGCAGATTAAAAAAAGAAGAACTGAGGCTCAGAAAGAGATATTTGTTCAAGGTGACATGCAGTGACAATCCATGAATTCAATCAATAAATATTTGTTAAATACATACAAGCATTTGTACTACAGACTCTGAGTTCAAATCCTGATGCCACCACATACTTGCTGTGTGACTTTAGGCAAGTCAGCTGCCTCCTATGTGCATCAGGTTCCTTATCTACAAAGCAGAAATCATAAAAATACCCATGTCCTAGGGTTGTGGTGAGAACAAAGTGATTTGCTCTGGGTAAAGAGCCAGCACACAGTAGGAGTTCAGTATGTCAACATGTGACTCTTCCGTTAGGAGTCAGGGATGGGTTCAGGGACTGGGCAGGATTAGAATGGCATATAAATAGTTATTTTTCAATTGCTGGCTCAGACCTCTCCTAGCATAGGCCAACCGGGAGGAAAGGGAACCGCCTGCTCACAGGGGGGTTTGGCAGAGGGGAGGCTGTTGGGCCAGGTGGCTGTCAGCGGGGATGGCCCTGTAGTTGCTGTCTGCCCCTGGGACCCAGGTGGGCTTCTTCTTGGGCCGTGGTAGGATTGGCCAACCCAGTCTTAGAGTCTTAGGCTTCTTGGGTCAGAGGAGTGTCAACCCAGCTTTAGCAGGACCCCACCCAAAGCCCAAGGTGAGTCACAGGGCCAGGGCCAGGGCCAGGCCATGGTTCCACCGCAGCACTGCCACTGGCCCCCAGGGCTGCACACATCTGTGGAATCCTTCCAGCTGCAGCACCCCCGCACTGGGCAGATTTTCTCTGGGCCTCCTAGCAGCCCCTGGTGGCACAGGGCAGTTGGAGCAGAGTGGGCTTTGGCTTTCACCAAACCCGCTCTTGGGAAAAGCCTGGCCATTGGTTCCTGGTCTGAGGGGAACATAGGTCCTGGAGTCCTGGATATCAGAGCTACAAATGTCGGTCCAGGCACATCACAGGTAAAGGTCCAGAGAGGGTGGGTTAGCAGCCAGAGACGCCTAGCAAGGGCCCAAGGAGTGGAACCCAGGGCGCTGGCCACCTGCCCCAGCCCCTTTCCTCCCCCTTCCTGTGTCCTCCTAATTTCCAAGCATCCCCTTTGCAAGAGGTGTCTCCTAGTCCTGCCTCAGCCAAGATGAAATACCAGAAAACCATTTCACTGTTTATTACAAACACAAGTTTGCAGGCAAATAATTGAGAGTCTAAAAAAAATACATTACAATAAATAACTGGAATTCCCAAAGTTCTTATAGCAAATAAGTTATATACAGACAGTGAAGCAGAACAGGCCCTTCTCGCCAGGAGCGCCCCGAGGGTATGAGGGTTAGAGGACTATGGGGAGGGAGAGCTGGAGGGGACAGATGAGGGCATCCAGGACACCAGCCATTGGGCAAACCTGTCCAGTCTTCGGGGCTGGCTTAGGTGCGAGTGTCCATCACTGTGTGTCACTCCTGGTTTGTAGCCAACAGGCAGGGCCCCTCTCAGGACGTGGCCTCCAGACTAAGTTCTTTCCAGCGAGGATGCGGGGCCAGAGTCCGGGCAGGAGGCTGCTCTGCAGCCTGGGAGTTGCAGGCTTTCCTGGGCAGTGTGACGTCTCGGAGCTGCCTGAGGGTGGCTCCCTCACTGGGGGAGGAGGCCAAAGCTTGTGCCAGTCCCAGCAGGCACATTTTCCTGGCCCAGGAGGCAGGTGGAGCGTCTCCCTGGCCTGGGCTACCTCTCTCTTCCCATCTCCATGCAGACTTTCTTCCCAGAGTTTCTCCAGCTTCCAATACTATCTCTTCCTCCGCCTGGAGTGTGTGGGCCCAGTCTCTTTTGTGGCCTCCTGCTGTCGCCCAGCAAAGAGTATCTTGGCAGAAGAAATGTCCCTGCAATCAAGAAGGGTCAGTTTAGCATCTCAGGAGATGTGGGCCTCGCCCAGACTTCCCTGTGACAGGCAGCACTAACAGGGATGACACCCTTAATCACTGCTGCCCTGGGGTCAGAAGTTAGCCACTGGCCCTGAAAATAAGATCTGCCCAATGACAGGCCAGACCAGGCCGAGAGGCTTCTCTGCCCACAGGGGCTTGGACAGAGCTGACGTTCAACGTCCAATGAGGCTGGAATGACTGGACGGCCAAGAACAGCCCGGGGTTTACTGCCAGGACCTGCCTTCCCACTTCCGTAGTGTTGCTCACGCCCTTCCTTCCAGGCTGTTCCCCTTCTCCTCACCCAGACTCCACCGACTACAGTTCCCACTGTTCACGTTCCTCTTACGTGGGTCCAGACGAACAGGGGTGCCCCGGGCTGCCTATGAACTTGGCTGAGACCCTTGGGGGGACACAGCCAGGCGGCCTTGTCCTGGCTCAAAGTGTCCTAGCCTGGAAGCCAGGAGCTGGCTTTAGTTCTGCTGTGGGGACTTGGGCAAGGGTCGCAGCCTCGCCGGGCCCCTTTCTGGGCCCGACAGACAAAAACGGCCCTGCACTGTGGGAAGGGGGTGTGCAGGCTGCCGGAACATGCCCACTGCAGAGGGCCATGCGCTTGCTGTCTTAGCTGCTTTTTTCATCCTAAGGCAGTTCCCGAGTGTATGCTGGATCCTGCCCGTCTCACGATCCTGCCTTTTCTACTGTTTCTCTCTCCCCACAAAGATGGAGACCCCTGTGGAGCCAAGCGGGGGGGGGGGGGGGGCAGCACTGGCTGACTCCGAGGGGATGGGGACAGGAATGGCTGACACCTGCAGAGCCCCTGCGGCGGGCCAGGCCCAACTCCAGGTGCTTTATTATGTCAAATCACCTGACCTCCCATCAACCCCAGGACATGGGTAGCGCTGTTGTCCCTGTTTCAAAATAGGCACTTAAAGCACATAGAAGTTAAGTGAGGATCCCAGGCTCACAAAGCTTGGTGGCAGGGCTTGGGTTCAAGGCAGGCAGTCCTGGCTCAGAAGCTGCCCCTTAGCCATGCTGTGGCTTGGCTAGGTACGGGCTTCTGTTGAGTCGGTTCGGTTGGACAGACATTCCTCCTGTGTGCCCACCCTCAACATGTTGAGTTCACTGCAAAGGGGACCCCATCTAGGGTAAAGGGAGGGAGCGGGTTGGGCAGTTGGCCCCTCTGGACCCCAGCACATGGGAGATGCTTGAGAGAGAGACACAGCCAGAACGAACGCCTGTGGTCCTTCCAGAGTCAAGAACCTTCAAACCCTCTAAAAAGTCTATTTCCTGGCCTGGTGGTAAAGAAGAGCACAGCGGTTAAAAGGTTCCGGAGTCAGCCAGATGCCAGATTGCTGTGTGACCTTAGAAAAGTACTTTCACCTCTCTGAGCCTCAGTTCTCTTAATTGCCCACTGGGGACGCAGTCCTGCCTCTTAGAGGGAACAACAGAAGTGTGAGGAAGTGGGCAGGGCGTTCAGGAGGTGCACAGTGTGCAGTGCCCCTACCTCAGCCGCTGGAGCAGCTCTCCCGCAGTAGTCCACGTCTTGTCACCCTGGAACGTGTCTGCAGAGGACCCAGTGCCTGGGGTCGCCTCTGTTTCAGCCCTGAATGAAGAACATTAGAGCCCAAGTGAGGGGCTGTGCAGGGCCCCGAGGCCACCTGGCTGCAGGCCCAGCCCCTCCCCCACCCGTCCAGGACCTGCCCTCAGGAACAGATCCATTTCCACCCCTGTGCACCTGGCATCCTTCCTTTCCCAGGCGGGGTGGGGAGAACTGAGCTACCGGGAATGTACTCTTAGCTCAGAAAGAGGCCACTGGGCGGCTGGCCTACTGAGAATCCGGCCACCCACAGCGGATGTGGCCCTTTGCAGGGAAATAGAGGCCGAGGTGGGGCCACAGCTTGAGTCTCAGAGGAGTCTTCTCGAAAATCATCACGGGAATGGAGGCTAGGATTGCAAGGCCAGTTTCTGCTTTCCCCCAATGCTCCAAGTGGCGGAGGGAAAGAACAAAGTTTCCCATCCTTTTACTGATGGGAAAACTGAGGCCCAAAGAGTTAAGAGAATGGTAAAGGCCCCCAGCAACTCTGTGGTGGCCCTCAAATGGGACCATGGCCTCACCATTCTAGATGTCACTCCTCCACTAAGAAAGCTCCAAAGTCCCCTGAGCCTCAGGGCTGAATCGGAAGCCTTCTGGACTGGGTCAGACAGACCAAGGCTAAAGCCCAACTCTCCTTCTGACCCGCTGTGTGGACTGACAGGACAAGCACTGTCCCCTTTTTGGGCCTGGGATGCCTCAGCTGTTGTCCGGGGAGAATCCCCCCTGCCCAGGAGTGAGACATAGTGCTCTCAGAAGCTCCTAGAGCTGGGCAGTGGGAGGGACTCAGGGGTGACTGGTTCTCTGCAGGAAGGGACAATGCCCGTGGGCCCCTAGGAGCCTGTACTCCATCTCCCGGTTCTCTCCTCTGCCCTTCCGCTGGCCTCTCAGATACCCTGCTGCCTAGGGCAGGCCCAGGCTGGCGGGCACCCGTGGCCCCTGCAGGCTGAGTGCCCACTTACCAGGGCCTTCGATGGCAGAAGGTGGCACAGGCAGGGTCTCTGGCACTGGAACATTCACAGCGTCCTGGCAGAGAGTGGCGCCGGCGTCTTGGCGGGTTTCCCAGGCCGTAAGGAGCTGTCTGTCTGTGGGCAGGCAGCCAGTAAGGTAGTGATGCAGGGCGGAGAGAGAGAGAGAGAGGAAAAGAGAGAGAGGGAGGAGAGGGAGAGGATTAGATAAGTCACTGCCGTTGGCAAATAGGGACTCTCCACACTGCACACTGGGATGGCCACAGATGCCACCAGGGTGGCAGCAAAAGGTGACCAGCCCCTGACCTCAAGAAGTCCCACTACAGGCCCCTACCTAGGTGCCAGGTAACCCTGGACAGGAACAGAGACCCTTCCCCTCTCTGGGCCTCTGCCCACCCCCAACCCTCCCAGCCCCGCCCATTCTCAGACAGGAACTTGAGCCAATGGAACCAGGCAGTCCCTGAAGCTCGCCCTGCAGGGGGGAGGAAATACCACCTCACAGAGTAAACACTCAGGCTCACAGCTAAGCTGCCCCCTCCTGGTCCCCACTTGCCTGAGGGGTGACATGTATGTCTTAGAGCGTTGACTTAAAAATGGTGTGTGCGTGTGCATGCATGTGTGCAAGGCCAGGTGGGACTGATTTCAGATCAGTCTAGCCAAGGCGGGCCGAGGGCAGGGCAGGGGCCCTGTGCCTGGTTGGACCAGCACCTTTGGGTGCCAGGGCTAATTTTAGCTGGTGTGGTTGGAGCTGTAATGACTCCAGGTAGACCCGACAGGCAGGGACTGGCAGGCTTCCCACCCCGAGCCAGTGTTTGGATGCGGATTAGCTCCACACACGCTTACGTGCTGGGCTTCTCTTGTCTTTTGCAATTTGGGGATGGGGAAAAAAACCACAAATGCACACAGAAACTTCAGCTTGAAGTATGCAGTGGCCCGGAGGCAGTGCGGGTGCAGACAGGACAGACAGCCTAGGCTCCCACCCTGGCTCCACCAGGTGACAAAGGGCAGGTTTCTCATCTGTCATTTGGGGACAACACCAGAACCTGCCTCAGGGGAGGATGGAGGGTTCATGAGATGATGGTGCACGAGCCGTGCCTGGCACAGGGCCTGGTGCAGCTGAGACGTGGGCGCTGTCATTAATTGTATTTTACTTAGAAGATCGTGCTGAGGTGGCAAGGCAGAGCAGGCGTGAGCTCTGCTGTCCACCAGGGCTGGGCCGGAGCATCCACCTACCACTCACCCCTTCCGGTATGACCTTGCAGAAGGCACCTACCCTCTCTGAGTCTCGGTACCCTGGTCTGGAAAATGGAGCCAGCGCTTTCTTACCAGGCTGTTGTGAGAATTCTCAAGAGACAGCCCTCTATATCGCTCAGGCAGCCTCCACGTGTGAGTGGAAACAATAACTGCTAACTGTTGATATTAGCCCAGCGCTCCCATCTGGAGGCCCAGGGAGAGCTGTATTGTGCCTGAGGTTCCCCAGCATGCCGTAGCCCCCTGCCCCTGCCCCCACTGTTAGCAGCCCTGCCTGAATCCCCATGGTAGCTCACCCAGGAGTGTTCACCCAGATGATGTCCAGGTGGCAGAAGTAGACGCACTCCTTGTCAAGCCAGGAGCTGCAGGAGCAACGTCGAGGCCGCAGGTGGGAGCCTCGGGCATGGGGTGTGGGCACTGGCTGCTCCTGGGTGGCAGTGGCCTGGCCCTTGCCTGCGTGCACAGGAGGGAGAGAGAGGTGGAGAGGTGGGTCAGGACGCTTGGCGCAGCTGGAACGGGGGACCTGCCAGGCTCCTCCTCTTGCATAATGGAGGAAGTTGGTACTCTCACTGCTCAGGAGCTCCAGACCAGCCGGTATGCCTCAGCAGCCAGGTGGAAGGGCCAGCTGCTGCCCTGGGCCAGTAGCACTTCCCTACTGGCCAAGCCCCCTGCTGCTGCCGCTGGGCTCCCGCCTCGTATAGCCCCAGCTGGCTCATGGGGCACCGCGGTCCCCAGGGGTGGGGAGGCACCGCTGAGCAGACCAGGGGGCTGCTGCAGCAGGCGAGGCCGGATGGCTCACCTTCGTGCAGGGCCACGAGCAGAGCCAGAGCGAGGGAGCACCAGGCAGTGGGCACAGCAACCATAGCGGCGGCGGAGCACGGGGCTGGACTAGAGCAGGGAGCGCGCCTGTTGCCCGAGTCCTGCTGCGAGCCCAGCTGAGCCGATAGCTCATTGCCTCGGTGCCCTGGCTGCTTCTTATAACTACCAGGCACTTCCCCGCCCCTGGATCAAGTCCTACTGCACTGCACCGGCGGGCTCGGAGCCAGGGACACCGCCCCCTCCTGGGGCGTCTAGCCCGGCCCAACCTCCACAGCCTGCCACGATGGGGGAGGGGGGCGGAGGGGGAAGGAAAGGCCCAGCTCCTCCCTCTCCGTTTGGAGCAACTCCCCAGCGCTGAGTTTCCCCTGCAACCCCCAGGAACTCCTTCCCGTCTCTAGGGACTTCCTCAAATCCTCCCCCAAAGTGCCGGAGAGCTCCTCCCCCACTCTCCCCATGGTTCCTCCTCCACTTTCCCCAGGGTCTTGCCCAAAGCTAAGAGTTTGAAAGGGGAGTGCGAGAAAAACCTCCCGCTCCTTGGAGAGACCCCGCTGTCCTGCCTGCCTACTGCCTGCCAAACCGAGGGTGCCCCTTCTCTGGTGTAGCAGGTAAAAGGCCTGCTTGTGGCTGCGTGGCCTTGGGCAAGTCAGAGCCCTCTCTGGGCCTGTTTCCCTTAGTGAAGGACACAGCCTTCCCCTGACCCTTGACCAGCCTGGAGGCCGGGGCTGCCTCATCTCTACCTCACTCAAAGTGCCCCTCTCCCCGCCCCACTCTCCAGGGCCTGGGCACAAGAATTCTGGTCCCTTCCAGACCTTTGCAGCTGTGTGGCCGTGGCCAAGGCCAAGGATGTCCCTCCTGGGCCTCAGTTTCCTTGTTTGCAAAACAAAGCCAAATGGGGGAGGGGAGGTCTTCATATGTTGGCTCACAGGCTCCATTGAAACTAAGAAGCAGGCTTCAGAGTCCTGTCCCGAAAGATGCCCCGCGGTTACCTGAAGTGTCTCTTGAAAGGTCTCTTGTCGTGGACATGGCAGGATGTCTTGGCTCACTTCAGTGGCTACATTCGGCAGAAAAAGACAGGGGGTGGGGTGCTCCCTGAGGGCCGGCTCTGCTCCTGCCCCTCTGCTGGCTGCGAAGCTGGGCCTCACTGGACACCAGAGCAGGGATGCGCTGTGCTGAGCCTAGCAGTTCGTGGAACTGGCAGTCGCCCTCCGCTCCTACCCAGGCCTGGCTCAAGGGCCACCTCTTTCAGTGTCTTCTCAGGCCCCCTGTCTCCAGGCATAACAGGAAATACGCCCTCATTTCTTGGAATTCCCAGGGCCCGGGCTCTCGTGCCTGTCTGACACATGACACTGAGCTTATCTCCCCAGCAATCGTGAGGTCCAGAACTCCCGAGGGGGCAGGGCCTGGAGCCTGCCTGGCATACACAGGAGCAGCCCTCTGAGTGTACTCGGAGGGGGCGGGGGTGGTGGTGCGAGTGAATAAAAATGCCTGGCCTTGAACTGGGGAAACTGGGTCTGCGGGGACCCAGGCTGTTCCCTTCTTAGTCCCTGCGTTCAGGAACTAAACTTTTGTCAGTAGGTATTTGTGAAGGGGAAATAGATGCCCACGAAGAAACAGTCAATCTTGCTTTTTCACAGAGTGTGTCCCGAGCACACATGCACGCACATGTGTATGAGCATGTAATCCCGGTACAGCAGAGCAGAATGGAAGGAAGGGGGGAGAGGCCTATTGGCCGGGTCAGGCTGCAGTGAAAGCTGGAGCAGACAAACACCCCTGGGCACCTACTGTGTGCTCAGAACACTTTCATTTCCTCTTCTTTGCAGTGCCAGGAGGCAGCTGCTGTCTTCTGGCTGTCAACTCCACTACCGCCCAGGAGGAAATCGAGTCTGGCCAAGGTCTCGCAGCTGGTAGGTGCGGAGCCGGCTCTGGAACTCAGATCTCCGTCTGGGCAAACCAGTGACTCCCCATGCAGTGCTCACTGCCTTCCCGACCCCCAACGGCCCTCCGGACGGTGCCTCTCCAAGAATTTAGAACAGTATTTCTGGAATGAGGTGAGCAATACCCTCAGCCATTTCTATTAGCCTCCGAGAGAATATAAACACAGAATTAAGCAGGGTTAGGGTGAGAGGGGAATAGGAGGTGGATAGAGAATTCAAACCGCTGAACTGTGAAGAGAAGAAAGAAGCAAAACAGATCCCCAGGGAGAAGGAGGGGGTCACGGTGGGGAGGAAAACAAGCAGGCAGAGCGGGAGGATGAGGAAGCAGAGCCAGAGAGAAAGAACTCAGATCTGAGAAAGGAAAAGAGGAAGACCATCAGGAGTGAGAGCGAAAGTTCTAATGTGTCTAATCTTTACACAAACTCGAAGTGCCTGCTCAGGACAATAGGGAACCAGAGGCTCTGAGGCTGGGAAACCTGAGAGAAGAATTAAATGGACCAGGGGACAGGATCGTTCTCTGGTGTGAAAGGAGGGTGACGACAGGGCAGGCAGGGCCGCCTGGTCTGGCAGGGTCTGCGTGGGGAGCTGGGCCGACTCCAGTTCCCTCCTTCCCTGCTGTCTGATGGAGCTGGGCGAACAGGGCTCCAGGGAAATGGAGAGGCCCGGTCAGAGGAACCCGAGCGAGCCCAGGTCTTAGGGGTGGAAGCATTCTGGGAACAGAACTCCCCCACGTGCTAGGGTTGATTTCCAGGTGGAGAAAGTGAAGTTGAGTTAAAAATAGCCAGTCCCAGCCCCTAAGAGGCCTTAGTCTGGGCCCTGACCTTCACCTCTGCCCCTCCCGATTGCCTGGCTGCACACCCTGCCCCCCCACCACATTGCAATGGCCCCCTCCAGCTGCCCCTGCAGGCAGCCCTGCATACTCTCCAACCTGACCTGGCCCTTCTACCTGCCTGGGCTAGTAAAGGCTGCAGGTCATGGGGCAGGGGTTCCCTGAAGGGCACCATCAGGATTGGGAGGAAATAGTATTGAACACAAGAGAATTTGCTCCACTTCTGCTTGGTGTCAGCTCAATCCAAGAGGGAGAGATTTGTGGGGAGGGCAGGTGGCTGCCAGGAGAGGGCCGTAGAAGTGCATTTTGGGTGAGACACTGAGCTCGAAACTGCCCTCTGAAAATCCTGTCCAGTCCTCACTCCCATTTTCTGGATGAGATAACTGTGGTCTGAGAGGAAGAGCGGCTGGCCTTGCAGGACGGAGGACACATGCTGGTGCTGTCGTCCACGGGCAGGCACGGGCTGCAGCAGGTGTCTGGTGCCGCAGGAGCAGCAAATGTCTGCCGTTCGTGCTGTTGGCCTTGGGCAAGTCTGGTTCCCTCCCTGGAAATTCTCCTGTCTTCCCATGGACTGTGAGGGGCACTGCCAGGGTTGACGTCTACAACTCCCAGAATCCACCTGACCCGAGTTTAGAGCTCCACTGATGGAGGCCCTGCAGACTGCTCTGACTGCAACTCCCCTCGTGGGACCCTCTGCTCTCTCACCTCTGCATAACCAGTCACTTCCACCTCGTCACCTGCCCCCTCCAGGTTTCAGGAAGTGCTGTTTGCAGCCCTGATGGAAGGGACACAGTGTCTTGGTCAGAGGCACATACCGTGCAGGCAGCCTAGTAGAGCGAGCAGCTGGGAAGATGGGGCTGGCCAGGGGGAGATGTCTGGAGCCCCAGGGAACGGGGGTCCCAGGGCAAGTTTGGCCCTGGAGCCAGCCTGGGTTGGGGATTTAGGGACTGAGGGGATTTAGACATTCACATGATCACTTGTCCGTCCCCAAGTTATATCCCCAAGGCAGTGGGTCAAGGATGCCCCACTAAGGCCTGGGGCCACTTAGCCCCAGGGCTTCTGTCTGGTGGGTGGCCTGGGCCTCCTGCCATTGGCCAGAGCTCACCCTGAGCCAGCAGAGCCTGCCACCGCCCACACCCTTGTCCCCACACTGGGTCTCCGCAAGGGCAGCCTTGGCCCTGAGGGACCAGCTTTCCTGGCCTCTACGGCTTCCCTCTCCCTCAGAGGACACCCCCTTATTAGTTGTCCTCTTCCCTCCGCCTCAACCAGGCTGGAAAGATTTATATCCCCCGCATAAACTGTGCTTCTAAAGGAGTAATTCATGTGCTGTTTGCCATTAATCTGGGGATAATCAGCACAGGGTCAACGAGGCCCATGGAACTGCTGGAATTTTGGCCCAAAGCAGATATTGTTCAGTCAAGGCATCCTTGTCAAGAGGCCATGTGAATCCTGCTGGAGTTTTTGAAAGAAGAAAACCCACTCAGGGACTTAGCACCCAGGCCTGAAGTCTCTGAGCTCAGAATTTCTGAGTTGCCTCCAAAGGGCCCAATCACCCCCTTAGCCTTTTAGGGGTGTGGTGTAAACACGCATTTCTTGAATAGTTAAGATAGTCCAAGCTCTGTGCTAAGTGATTTACATACATTACCTTTATTAACTGTCACAACATAACCAGTTCCTATTTTATACGTGAGGAAACTGAGGCTCATGACTTGCCCAGTATCTATGCCAAGGTGAGAAAGCAGATTTCTGTAGCTCCAAAACCCTCACCCTGAGCCCCGAGGGTCTCCAATGTGCCTTCTCGGCTCTCCAGCCTGTGAGGGGCCCTCTCATAGCAACTGTTCTCCAGGGGTCCCTTTGCTATACTTAACAGGCAGAGAGCTCTGTGCAGGCTGGGAAAGTGGGGAGCCCAGGAGCAGAGGTAGCTTCCCACCGGCATCTGTGGGGGCCCTCACCCCGACAGCAGAAATGGCGTGTCGCTGTGCCCAAGCCGGGGACGGAGGCCTGGTTCCAGCTGTTATTTGGTACGGACAGTGCATTCTTATTTCGCCGGGGCCCACAGCAGACCTGGGGGACACACTAGGCCCCCGCATCTCACTTTACAGAGGAAGTCTTTCCAGATAAGAGCCTCACTTCACAGAAAAGGAAGTGACTTCCTCAGGGTCACACAGTGAGCTAGAGGCTTTTCCCTTACACTCATCTGCTGTGGGATCGACAGCCTGTATCACATATAAACCAATGATCCACCCATCTACCCATCATCCCTCCATCCACCCATCAGTTCAACTTCCCAGTCCCCTTCCTACCATGATCTAACCTTCTATCCATCCTTCCATTCATGCATCTACCCAACCAGCCCCCTACACATCCATCTTTCTTTGTGACAGGTCGGATTGGAAAGGTTACAATGCCCAAAGTGTGACGAGCTTTGAGTG